ATTAACACATAAGTCGAAAGACTCGTACGATTTAATTAATATTTATATTTTTATGTAATATATTTCTGAACTTCTATTTAGTTTTGTGAATCAGACCTAGTCAGATCTCATGACTCACATTATAAAACTAGCCCCAGAAATAATTTTTATGTTAATTAATTATTAATATTTATTTATTTTTCAAGCAAAACGATTATTTCATATCAAATGTTTTTTATACACTAAATAAGTAATAATCAAGTTTTATAAGTTGTAATTTTGAACTACGTTTACAATAGATGTAGGTAACAACAATCCATTACATAATTACAATATTTTTTTATAAAATAATTATAGTATACATATATAAGAATATATTATTTTTAATCGATGTATCTTTGTAATTATTGAACCATCATTGGTTCCAAGATCTACCATTACCAATGCATATTAATAGGGGTTAATTGATTGTTATTCTATAAATCCATTTGATTTTTAATTTTACCCATTTTGTGTGGAGGTCTAAATACAACACTCACTAAACATGTGATAATATAATATTATAATATTATATATACATGCATAATATGGTTTCTGCAGTGAAGGTAGAAAACCTTTAGAAGTACTAAGACGATTTGCCTACTGTATAAAAAAAAAAAAAACTTGAAAAATAAAAGCGCTCGTTTAATACTCACTTTTGGTTTAGTATCATCACCATTATTTATTTTTGAAATTAAATAATGCTATAATAAATTAATCGATTTTTTAAGTGAAACAACCGTTTTATTACGAATTAATTCGTATTATAATATATTAAAATACATAACGACACGTATATAACTGTATATTTATGCTATCCGTATCGCTGTACAATGTTTTATACCTAATTATTCAATTATCTGGTATTTGCAACGTGGATAAATCGCAGATTACAAATGGTCGATTCGTAAGTTATCACGTGACGGTATATGATTTTGGTATAAATAATACAAAATGTCAAGTACTATATGTTAATTTTCCACCAGGCTTTGCTTTTTCGATGAACTCGAATTATTATTGGTGAGAGTACTTATTAATACAATTTTTTATTTACCTTTTCAAATAGAAAATTTAATTCTGTTTTCATCGTGGAGTGTGAGAATATTTTTAATAATGCAATCATTTAATTGGGTTTTCGATTAAAATATAAATATTTTTCATGTAATCATGAGTTATAAACTATCAAAATTAAAATACGCATCATATATTATAACCATTAAAATAAAGAAAATATAGATTTTGCGGATAAAAAAAGAAGAAAATGAATAAAATTACATAACTGGTTCTATACAAATACGATTCGGCTATAATATAACTATTTTTGTTAAAAATTCCACAAAACCAAAATAACGTTTAAAATATTAATTTAAATTCTAAAAAGGTCGCTAACACGTTATGAATCAATATAAAATTAATATGCACAGTGAATTATGATCGATTTTTTATTATCCATTGTAGACTAGCGGGACATTAAACGTGATAATCTGTTTACATGTGATTCTTCAAAAATGCTAACGGAAATCGATATTTTTAATTAATTTTAAAGAAAATTATCCATTTTTTTCTTATTATGGCGTAATAATATATAAGGAATGTATAAAAACATTTTATACTTGTAGTTTTAACTTTTAAACTTATTAGATTGTATTTTGTTGGTGAGACTTGAAAGTCCTGTCAGTCATTTAGATTTTTACATAAAACATCTGTCGAAATGAAATATTTAAATTTGTGTCTCAATGAGAAAAAAATTGTTTTGCTAAATACCACGAGATGAATTAAATACAGAATTAATATTACAATTTGTTATTTATAAATTAAAGTTTTTTATAAATATTATTTTGTAAAATAAAGGTTTTATAAGAAAAAGTTATAAATTAAGTTTATCAGGTTATATTTTTTATTTATACTCAGGTATAATATGTATTTATATTACAGACGAATGTAATAGTAATAGAAAACATTGTATGCTTATATTGTATGCTTATAAGATAGTTATATTCGTGAAGGAGAAAAAAACTATAATATGATGATTTTGAGTTATAGATTTTTCCACGAACTTCAAATACTTTTAAAAACTTGTTTGAATTTATAACTGTTTATATTTTTAAAAAATATGATTTAGAAATATCCATAATTTTATAATAAAAATTACATAGCTTATGTGGGAAGAAAAATTGCCCGATATTGATAGAACGTTAAACCGTTAACGTGCAACGATCACAGTATTTAATCAAAATTAATGGCTCGCGTTGTCACGTATACTAAATTCTGTACCGAAAATGTTCAACGAATTTTAATCTCGTAACGGACATATTTATTTTGAAATTCACTCGTAAGAAAAGTATCAGCTAAACGATCTTTATGTTCTACCTTATCGAGACCGAACAGATAATTATTTCTATTTGTTTCGCGTTCGACAGTCACGTGTATAAACATAGAGTTTCATTAATGAACAATGTTCCTGGTAAAATCCTCATTTTGTTCGTCGTTGGTTTCAAAAACGCTTTCCGTACGGTTTAGACCGGACTCGCCGACACCTAATTAGCCAACTACTCGTTTCGTCGACGCGGTAACAGGTAACTGGTAAAAATGGAAAATGTTCCAATTCGTCGACAAATTGTAGTTTCACAAAATATAAAAATAATTTTTATTTGGACATTTAGAATATCACAATCTACAATCAAAATGTTACTAAAACTATACTGTACACTATAAAATTATTGGGATTTGTCAGTTGACAGTTGACAGTTGACAGTTGTGTCGTCAGTTAGTTATTTAATAATATTAAATATAAAATGTCGTGATTTATGATAAATTCTGTGCGTGATGTCCAACTTTTAGTTTTAGAAAATTTTATACATAGAATTGATAGAATAAGAGGTTCTAACCACTATTATAAATGTATTGATAATTGTGGTGGTCGAGCAATACACAGAAATGATTCAAATAATGCTGTTAGTCAAAAATGCATGTACATCCATTGCATGGAATCCAATTAGTTGAACGTAGTTTTCGAAATAAGCTTTAAGTGAGTTTAATTGAAATTATATTATTTTATTCACGAATTTTTATTTTAATTTTTAAAAATTAGTTATGAACACATGTTATAACTTAAAAATAATGTATTTAAAGGACGTAGTGATAAAAAATCCCACAAAAACTATACCACAGACATTTAATGAAATCCGAAGATCAATAATGGCTTTAGGAATAGAGGGTTCTTCGGAAGCTGAAGTAAATGACGCTATACCAATTTATACCAGTGTCAAAAGTTCGGCATACAGGAAATGTATGAAGTTAATGCCAACGTTACCGAAAAAGCTTTCTGAATTAGATATTGAAGGTGATTGGCGATCAACAAATGATGGAAAAGATTTTCTTTTATGTATTAAATTTTATACTAAATTATTTAATGATTTAAGGAATTACTTACTTTTACTAATAATAATGTTTTTATAGGATGTGATAGTGCAGATGATAAAATTATCGTATTTGGTACCGAAGGATTTTTACGACGTCTTTGTTCTGGTAATACAGTTTTTATGGATGGCACATTTAAGTCAGCATCAAAATTATTCACTTAAATTTATACTATTTACTGTTTTGTTGTAGGAATGATGATACCTCTAGTAATTATAATTTTATTTTTTTATCATAATTAGGGATCGGATGTTTATGCACATTATTTGTGCAATATATCTGTGACACACACATTGAATGGGATTTTACGTTGTTTTAACTGTATTTTATTAGATATTTGAAATGTGTACATGTAAACCTTTCGCGTGACCGATAACGGCGATAAAGTAGGAACACGATAAAATTAGTACCTAGATTAGATTTTTTACACTAACACTGCTGGCCACACAATAAGTAAACACACTACACTGTGTATGACGAATACGTTTGCAGTATCTGTACGAAAATTATTGACATATATATGTATAATAATGTATTTGTTTTGTATATTTTCGTAGTATATAAAGAAAAATTATAAACTTTGTTAGATTTTAAATTGAATGGATTATAAAAGAATTGTTTTAATTAATGAATATATTTTTTTAGGCTTATGCACTATTGCCTAATAAAAGTACATCCACATATCAAAAAATGTTTGAAATAATAAAAGAAGCTGCATTATGAAATGGATTAGAATTCAAACCTGGTTGTTTCCAAATAGATTTTGAAATTGGAATGGTCGTCTCCATTCGGCAGTGCTTTGGTTATGATACACCCATAAAAAGGTGTTTATTTCACTTTGGGCAATCTATTTGGCGAAAAGTTCAAAGTCTGGGGTTAGCTTATGATTATGTACATGATGATAATATTAAAAATGTTATTCGTCGTCTTTTTTCATTAGCTTTAGATCCGATTGATCAAATTGATAATTGTTGGACAGAAATTCATAGTGAAGCATCACAATCAGAAAGTAATTAATATACAATATACAAATTATAACAATATATACATATTAACAATACTGATTTTTTCATTATTATTATTTTAGATGTACTGAAATTATAAACATTTTTATTTTAATTAAAGAGCTAAAAAACCAACAACAAAATGTCGAACTTGACATCATAGCGCAAAAAAATGAACAATAAATACAGAAAATTGGAGGAAAGATTATCATTTGCAAAATAAAGGTATAGTTTTTAATATTAATACAATTGGATTTGATAATAATAATAAATAATAATATATTTTTTATACAATTTCAGGCTACAAAACGGTACTATTTGTATTATGGAATATTTGGACGCAATCATGTTCCATTTGCATCTTGAAAACAGAAGATTAGATTTAGAAGATTAAAATACGTATATAAAAAAAAAAAAAAAAAATAATATATCTAATTAATATACAATATTTTTAATTTTAAGAATATTTAATTTCGAACTAATAAACATATTGTGATGAAAATGTATATATTTTAAGTATAATTCATTTAGAACTATTACATGAAATAATGTCGGCAAAATGGTGCGTCGGCGAATCGGGTTGTCGGCCAATCGGTACCGCGTCACGTTCCGTACAAGAAGTCTAGTCGTCGACCCGAGCACACATCGTTTGCTGAAAACACGAACGTACAAACAATAATATTTTTTACCGCCGTTACGATGATAATATCATATTACGAGCGCGGTCTATTACCGGCACAATACCGTTCCGGACAATACTCGGGACGCATTTAATATATAAATATAGTATGTTAATGGCACGGTTTTTCAATGGGGTTTCATCTGCGTGAACACAGAAGTGCCTAACGACGTGGTGCGCCCGTCCGTCCGTCGGCTCGGCTCTCACGACGACGGCGCGTAACATTTAGTCCTGCGCGCCCTAGCCGGGTTAGGCGCGCGCGCGCCGTTGGTGGCCATTAGCCGTTAGCCACCAACTTCACGCGTCTTAAATCATCGTCGCTATCTCGTGCCTCGCGTGTGTTTACCAGCGCTTATTGTGACGCTACACATTTGTGAGCGCGCACAAAAAAAAATCGGTGTCTACCCACTTTCGTCGGTACACGATGAAATGTTTAACAGTCGCGTGTATCATAATATTATTGTACGGGTACCTCTACCTGCGCGTGTGTTATACTATTATTATTGTTGTAAACGATAATATATACGTATATATATATATATATACGATATATATTACGTATATGCGCGTACAATTGCGCGCGCGTGTGTGTACAGGACGCGTTATCCTATTAAAAGGCGACCCCACCCACGACGACGTGTACGGGATTCTCATTAACGGTCGAAAAAGGGACTCCGATCCCCGCGGTGATTTATGTACTCTACGTATTATATAATATCATCAACGCCGGCGAATATCATCGCCGTGCACAATACGCTCGTGCGCGATAGGTAAACAAACATTTTTCTTATTTTCTTGACAGGACGCGCGTATAATACATATACGTGTATATGCACTACGCGTGCATCGCAAACCGTCCGATACGTAATGGCATATTATTATTATATAAATAGACATAATAGCTATACGCTTACGGTCCGCGTACGACTATTCGTTTTATCGATACACCGATCGATCATCGACGCATAAAAGGCGTGTACAAGAACGATTAGTCGTGACGGTGGAGTGCAGGTGCGGGGGCTTTCACGAAGGATTTTGTCGCACGCGACAGTGGAAATAATAATTAAGATCCTGCCTCATGCTTCACCCGGGGCGTTCTCAGTCTTCAGCTGTCGGGCCGCAACGTTCAGTTTTAATATTATTGAACTACCTACGTAAAAATGCTCAAACAGGAAAATGTCATCGAATAAATATTTGAAATAGAAATGCATATATTTATGTATATAGTGTTTATAACAGATATTTCGACTTTATACAAAAGACTCTATAAGAAAACGAATAATATGGTTTCATTGTATAAACGTTTAAAAAAGTTGTTTTATTTAATTATTCTTAGTTAAAGCGGCCTGTAAGTTTGGTGAAGTATCTTGTAATTGGTTATTTTTAATAAATGACAAGATTTTGTTCGTAATATTCGTGTTTGAACGCCTTTATTTTTTCCCTTCATATTTGCCCTATTGTTATATTTCTGACCATTACTGTCATTTAGTTCTGGTTCAAAAATGTTCAACAATCTTAATATAGACTCATAAATTCCTTCGTCAGACGAGATTTCTAATACTATAAAATGTTCTTAAATGCAAATTTCCTTGATATCAAAAAATCTCGAAATCAAAGAAAGTTGTTCAACATGATTAATATCTAGAGTGCAATCCAACATAATAATATATTATTTTTCTTTTCGTACTCATATTAGTATATTTTTTTTTTCCAATAATTCCATTTTGAATAGTTTTTTTACAATAATGAAACATTACTGCAACGATAAAATTCGATACGTTTTACTATTAATAATCATAAGGATTACTTACACACGAATAGATAATAAGATATTTATATTTTTGTTCTACACATATCAATTTATAAAATATTAGTACATATATTAAAGGTACCCCCATTAAAGTAGCGCTCCGTACATCCTCCCGGTTCGTACGTATTGGGCCGGCGCTGATCGTACCCATTTCTACGAATATGTTAATGATTTCCATGGTAAATTACGTTAAACTATTATAAAAGTTAAGTTTTTCTCTCATCTGAAATTTAATTTCTTTGTAAATTTTATCAATGCATTTTAAACGGATAATACGTTCTATGCCGCAGAGTCCTAGGTTGTAATATGCATATATTATTGAGAAATAATAGTACGCATATTCCTGAGTCGTATAAGGAAAAAACGTACTATTGCAAAACCTTTAATGGGCGCCACGCGCGAATTTCAAACAACCACAACAACATCATCATTCGAGGCCAAGGGCAACCAAGTGATGAAACAACACTTGGATATGAAGACCAAGACCAAGGACAGCCACGTGTCGAAAACAACACAATTAAAACAGAATCAGCAGAGTATATAAAGGCTCCGTTTCAACACCAACGGCAGACGTGTCCAGCTATCAGACTAAGCCCTTCCGAGTTGCGTCTCGATATTGTTAGTGCACGAATTTATAATTTATATTTTTGTATCTATGTCTGTGTTTATTAAAGTATTTACAAGTGTTTGAAATAATTGTTTAATCAAATTTATCCCGATCCAACAACATCATTACGATAGGTACCTGTTTTTATTGGGTACCACGTAACAAGGTATATTATATTCAACTTAAATCTTTTCCAACGAGGTTTTATGACACGCAATATCAATAAATGCGCAAGATATTTTTTTAATTTTTTAGTGATAAAATTTAGGTTACGGATAAAGTTTTGCAGATAACTACGAACAATTTTATTGGCTTTTATTGAAATTCCTATATTTTAACACAAAACGAGTTATTTAACTCAATACTATATAGTTTTCAGTCAAACCACTATTATCGCAGTATGGGCTGCGAAAAGCTTGCAATATTTTTATAAACTATGTTTATACAAAAAAATAAGTCGAAAGTCCCGATTTACGATTTAAAATTTTATAGAAAACGATATTGGAATCATATAATTTTGAAATAAAAAATTTAAAAAATGACAGGTTTATTACTCGTGTTTATTTATTTACCAAAGATGGTTTTATTTTAAATTTGACTTTGGCTTTTTATTCATTTATGTTTTATTTTTTGAAAACGTTAAGTACATTCACTTTTTCTCAAACCATTGATCGTTGTTGCAGGTGGCTGCGTGTCCGAACGCTCATTAAAAAAACATTGTTCTATTGGCCGGTACAACGACTTTGTGATATGAAATACGTTTGTGATGCGTACAAAATAATAATCGACCGTTTTCGGTGGCTGTTGCGACGTGTGTGTAAAAGCGTGTATGGTGTATTAACGATGACAGTCGAAAAGGAATTGAAAACACATTTTATTACTACACGGCGATGATTGATGCGTTGTTTGTTATAGATTTTACCAGTGCCGTACGCCGTGTAACAACAATACGCCAATAATAATCATAATAATAACACGATAATGATAACAGTAACGGCGCCTTGCGGTCGTCGCAGCGATGATGACGGCCCGAGGACGTGGTTTGCTTCTGTACTCACTTCTGTACTGACGCGCTAAACGCTGTACAGTTGATATTGATATACGAGTACTCGATGATAATAATTATTATTATACGTACACTCGGCCGACGTGATTTTTCTCGACGGTAATAATTAATGGTCGAACGCCGTCGTGTGTATTTATTATCATTGTACTGTCATGTTTATTATATAATACCACGCTCGTAGACCAATACTCCACGGACGAAATGTGAATGGCCGTCGACAATGAATACGGACGAGCGAGTACGGAAAAAGAGACGGATACTAAAACGAGAAAACGTAATTTTCTAGACGACCGGACGATAAACGACTGCATTAAGTACGATGACAGTTGGCAATACTATATTACTATTATCTCTCTCTCTTTTTATATATATATATACGTGGTTAATTTAATTTTATTGATTTTATGTACTCCGTGTTAATACAACATGATTGATAATTGGTTAAAGGATGTCAAATTGGCGTTTAATCGTGTGTTAAAGAGTTTCGTTTTTTATAACAGGAATGCAAACATTTATTTTATATCAGTTCGATGTAAATGTTTGATTAGAATTATTAAAAATGCATTTTATGTTTTACAATGTTCGCAAAATTCGATACTATTTTACTCATTTTTATGTATATAGTTAAATAAAGTAACTATCAATTTCAAAAATTGAATCGTCACAAAAGTGTCCCTTATTTAGAGGTGTTTTTATAGAAAAGTAATGAAAATATCCCTGTTCCCGAAAAAAGGTCCGTTATTAAGAGGTGTTCGTTAAGGGATGTTTCACTGGTTTCATATACGTAAATACGTAAATACACAACATGCACAATATTTGCAGTAGTATTTAATACTTAAATGTACAGGCGTACATCATCGGTAGAGCCGCACTTTTGAATAAGTTCGTTCGACTCGAGCATGTACACGTTGGAATCGTATAGACATTCTAGTCGATTGAATTGGAATTACGACGTGTCTCCAGACGACTCGTATACTCGGGCTTACGGAGTTTTTCCCAGGGAATTAAACGTCGATTTCGATTTGTGGAGTTTTTCGGATCGTCAAGAACCTACACGACCGTATCGTGCGGGTATTTATCGAGCACGGCGGCGAGGAAAAAAAATCGATTCACTTACGTTACGTCTTATCGTTCGGTACGGTTTTGACGTGTTCGAACGCGCACAAAAGGATAAGAGGGTTTTGACATCCGCCCGGAGTGCAACGCTTTCGTCTGCCGAAGGTCGGGTGGGCTTCACGATCGGAAATCACCCTAATCACGGTGTCCAACGACGACGACGCGTTTGGGTACATCTACATGGAGCGTAACATATTAATACCCGTACGATATCCGTAACATTTACATCTCACGAAAACGATCGGATGGACGATAACGGTTAAAGCCTCTCTTAAACACTATTATCATTATTATTATTATTATTGTTGTTTTCGGGTACGTGTGAACTTGCGTGACTGACATTTCGGATGTGTCCGCGGAGCGCTTGACACCAC